CAAGGGAGCGGTATAAGCAAAGGCCTAGAAGCATAGAACTGCATGTCTTTCAAGGAATGGCTGAGCTTGTGGGATGAGAAAACAGGTGAGGCTGCCCAGGAAGGGACCTTGATGCCAGCCCAAGGGTGTGAATCTTACTTGGTGAAGCCAGCAATGGGGAGTCACTGGAGTTCTTGAAACAGGGTAGCGAATGATTTTTCTGTCTGTCCAGGCAGCAATATCAGGGGCAGATGGGAGAGGAAAGATTTGGGTGGGGAGGAGACAGGCTAGGAGGCTAATGTGGAGAGGGGGTGTTGGATGGCAATCTGAACTGGGAACTTGAGTATGAGTGATGAGAGGCAGGGACAGGTGTTAGGGATGATCCACAGAGACAAGGTGTTGCAACTGACTGAAGGTAAAGAATGAGGGGAGGGAGGAATCCCCTGCTAAGCCTCCTCCAGGGTGCAGCCTTGGTGGGCATACCTGGCAGCGTGGCATGCATGATGGAGAGCATCAGGGCCCGGGTGCTGAAGGGCTCCCGGCTCATGTTGGCAAATACAGGAACACAGAGGCGACCCAGGATGAAACAGGCATACAGTACGCAGCCAAGGGCCTGGGGAGGGAGTTGGGGACACACAACTTCAAGAGGGATCACTGGAATTGGACTCCCGATCAGCTCCTGGCTCCTCTTCCTTTAGCCCCAGCCTCTGACCTCCTCCCCAAGTGTCCCCCAGCTTACTCCCAGAAATGCTCCCTTAGCCACCATGAGTCACAAGCCACCCTTCTGTCCCATCTTCTGACCTGGGCAAAGTTCTTGGCCACATAATTCCACCTGACGTTGGGTGTCCTGCAGCAGCAACAGGATAATAGTTTTCTCATCCTTTTATCTTGCTCCCTGCTCACTGGGGCACAGGTTCCGGGGCCCTCTCTCCGAATTTCCCTCAATTGCTCAGGCCTGGGAGGATTATCTGGGGACCTGGAGGTCTAGAACACTGTGGATCTTCCAGAACAGAGATGGTATTTTTCGCTTGAATGTCAATAAGGTGACCAACCATCCATAGTCTGCACCAGACTGAGAGGTTTCCCAGGACGTAGGATTTTCAGTGCTAAAACTGGGACAGTCCTGGGCAAACGAGGACAGATGGTCACCCTTGAGTTAGCTATAAGCTGGTCAAGAACAAGGGGTAGTCTACCTGCCACTTGTTTCCCATGTTTACTATGGGATGCTTCCTGAGAAAGTGTACAATGTCTGGGGTGAGGCCAAAGGACGAGGGGAGAGGAATGACGTAGGGTAAGGTCCCTGAAGGGCCCGGGTCTTTGGCGGAGGGGAGGGGGCTTACCTGGGGTAAGTCTCCCTATAGATGAGTGTGGGGCAGAAGAGGAAATAGAGGTAGCTGGAGAAGCTGGGAGCCCGGATGCACTCACCTGGGGAGGAGTGAGAAGGCAAGTGAGAGAGGGCAGAGGTGAGTGGGAATGCTGGGGGAGGGTGTGGGGCTGATGGGAGGAGAGCTGGTTAGGACTGAGGCAGTGGGGATGCCTGTGGAGGTGGTGTGGGGGAGGTGAAACCAGGCAGGAGCTGCACCTGCTCTCTGGCAGCCCTCTTTAGCTTCCATTCCAGGTACCCGATTTTCTGGTGCAGAGCCTGCTGTGGCCAGAGCCTCACCTGGCACCCACAAATCCCGCCACCCATTCTTTCCTTCTTTGACTTGCTAATATAAGGCTCTCTCTCATACTCTGGGTGTTTGCAGGGTAGGCCTGGAAATGGGAAAGTGCCAGAAGTCCTCGGCAACAGAGGTGCTGTCTCTCAGAGATGGGACCTGAAAATGAGTACTGACTAAGGCCCACAAAGCCCAGGTGGGGGTCAGAGCTCTGCCCTCGGGGCAAGATGGGCTTAGGACACTTTTATGAGGATCCTGCAATTGCTGGCTGCATTCAACCAGCCAGGAGGACTGAGTTCACTGCAGGGCCAACTGAAAGCCTCACCTCCTGTGGCACGAAGGGTCCCAGTCACAGACTCTCTCAGGAAGGAGTAGCTTTTCATCAGGAGCCTGACCTGAGATGGAGTAGAAGGGAGGTTAAGTTGCTGTGTGGCTTTGAACAAATCACTTAACCTCTCTGTGCTCTTGTTTACCTGAGGGAGACAGGCAGATTGTTAATGTGTATGGTCAAAGCCCATATTCTTTTTGTCGGATAATTTTATAGCCTAACACAGAGGGCTGCTGGAATGCATTGAGGGTAAAGGGGTACAGGAAAGGTCAGAGGCCCCAGCCAACCAACCCCTGATGCCCTATAAGGAGTGTGATTATATTTGCCTAAGGATGTCCATTTCGTCAACATTTCCTAGGATCCTCCCCCAGTTCCGCCCCGCTAATGCGGATGGATTAGGTGCCCTCTGTCGTTGGGCACAGGACCCTCGGTGAGGCTCGCCGCCGCGCGGCACCCTTGCCCTGGCCCTCACCTGCTCAAAGACCAGGATGCAGCGCGAGGCTGGCGGGAGCTGATACTCCACAGCTACGTGCAACGGGAGGAGGCCGAGCACAGCAGTGTGGGCGGCCAGCAGCGCGCAGCCAAGGCCCACCCCGAGCATCCAGGCCGCTGAGGCTCGGGGCCTCGCCCACAGCCGCAGGGCCTGGTAGGGCGCCAGCAGAGTGGACAGGAACATGGGGACCCAGGTCACCAGCGCCAGGGGCAGCTGTCCGAAGCTGAAGATCAGTAGGTCAAACTCCAGCATCAGCCTTGGAGTGGAGGAGAGACAAAGTAGACAAATGCGCGGCTCATCCTGGCGTCCTTGAACCCCTCCTCTGCAGTCAGAGCTCTTGCAGATAAACGGAGGTGCCTGGTGAAGGTTGGGAGCGCTTCATCTCTGAAGGTGTTCAGGACAGCACCTCTGTTGCCCAGCACTTCTAGCACAGGGCACTACTGAGGAGACTCAATCACAGAATGGGTTTGCTTCCAAATGACCTTTAGAGCCCTCTGTGCATTTTATGGTGTTGCAGAAGGGCTCAGTACTTTGTACACAGATGTTAGGATATGAGGGGTTTAGAGTTTGATTTTCATTAGTTCTATTCTTCTGGAGTGTCTGTAGCAGTAGACTTGAATTAATAGAAAGCAGGTAGTTGAGTGCTTAGATTAAGGGTGGAGTGTATAGTTTGTAATGATGAAAAATTGGAAACAACCTAAATTAGTAAAGAACTAACTGAACAAAAGCTGGCCCTCCAGACTCTACAGTTGTTAAAAACAGTGGACTGACATGGAAAGATCTCTAAGACAGGTTGTTAGGGAGTGAAAACCAAACAATAGGTAGTGAGTATCTTACTTACATAAATCCCCTCAAAATATGTATCCTTGGTCCTTATGGTCCTTATGTACATAGGGATGTGAATGCATGGAAAGTGCCCCAAACTGTTATAAATGTGACCTCTGGGGAGCAGTCTGGGATTGAGGGGATGGCCAAGAAGGACAATCACTTGACAGTGACTGCACTAGAGGGGGTGAAGACTTAATAATATGAATAATGGTTGAACTGCTGTGCTACTATATTTGAAACAATACCAAATTGTAGAAGATAATAATAATAAAAAAAAGAAGGGCTATCATCTATCACTTTGCGTGTATGTGAACTGTTCACTGAGATTTGATCTTTATAATCCTCACATAATTAACAGCGACAACACTGTCACGCAAAGGGAGAGCTGTTGCAGCTCCTTGGTGCTCTTCCTCTCATGCTTCCCAAGCCCTGCTTAGGGTGAGGTGGGGGCCATGCAGTAAGACCCCCAGGGGAAGACAGCCCTGTGAGGCTCATCTCCTGGTGGGGGGCACTCTGTGCAGGACACAGTCTGCAGTGGTACTGGTGTGCAGGCCTGTCTTCCCCATGTGATGGACGGGCCTCTCTGGCCCCCAGAGCAGCACTCAGGAGGAGGTGCTCAGTGGGAGTTGCATTAAACAGCACTGACTTGGAAAGGGGTGAGTGAGAGCAGTGGGTATGAAGTGTGCACGTGTGTGCACACACACGTATCTACCTCAGGGCAAAGGTCCTACTGAGAAGCATTTGAATGGGGACATAGTGTCTCCAGAGTGGCTGACCCTTGGGGGACAGACCAAGGGCCATCCAAGGCTGTGGAAGGGAGAAGTGTCAAAGCACAGTTTAGGTGGGAAGGTGGTTGGGAGCAATACTGATGCATGTCCAATGGTCAAAGGGGGGTCTGTGTTTTCTGGGCCAGTGGCAGGTAGAGCACTGGGGACCCAGGGGGTCTGACCCGATCTGTGTGTTGTGGGGGGCCTACCTGCCCTCATCAATGAAGTCAATGGCCAGGGTGCTGATGATGAAGACACACAGGCCGGCGATGAACATGTGGTAGATGGTGCGGAAATGCTGCACCTCCATCAGCTCACTGGAGGGACAGGGGCCCAGATGTCAGTGTGGGAGGTCCTCAAGGTCATGCAGACTAGCTCAGGCTCTGTAGACTTGTGCGGATGGGGTCTAGAGATTGAGAACTTCCAGCTAAGGGCTGGGACCTCTGTCCCAGGGCCCAGACACGTCTCATTCTGGTGGCCTTTCTTCCACAGTCACACCCAGGGCAAGTGGGGAAACTGAACCTGAGAAACCCTCTCTCTCCAAGTCCTCCCCCACACCACCTAGGACCTGAGGATGAGAAATGTGGTCCTGGACTCCCACCCGAAGCCCTTTCTTTTCTTCCCATCCCCTGTCTTCACCCCTGACTTACTCAAGCAGGGACTTCCTGTTGATGAAAACTTTCCATTTCCCCAGAGATGGCTTCCAGGTCCTGAATTGAAACAGTTCTGGGTCAGGACCCAAAGGAAGAAGGCAGTGGGTAAAGGGCAGGGCCTTGCAGAAGATCAATACTTGAGAACCAAGAGCAGTAGTACAGGAAGGTAAGGGCTAGGGCCAGAGGGCAGGACCACATAGAAGGTCAGGGTTGGGGCAAGGCCCAGAGGTGGAGGTCAGTGTCAGGAAGGCAGAGGCGATAAGGGGAGAAGAGGAAAGGCTGAAGTTGGGGTCATGCCAACACTGGCAGAGAATGCATGAGATAATGTTTATGACTCATATTCCTTAAAATGGGGAAGCCATTCCCTGGCTTCTCAGATTCTTACTTGCTCAAGGAATCTGGAGGAGTAGAGAGTGGAGGTCCACCTGGTGGTGGGTGGGACTGCATGGCCTCCCATATGGCCCGATCCAACAGTTCCAGCAGCTGTCCCTGGGCTTGCGCCAGCAGCTGTGTCTTCACAGCCTGAAGGGCAAAGCAGGGCAGGGCCATTGTCCCTCTGCCCAGGCAGCCATCCTCTCATTCACCACACATTTCCTGGCACACTGCTAGGTGCCAGGGGTGGGGAGATGAACAAGTACAGGTCCTGCCCAGAGGTCCCCCAAGAATTCATCTCCCTCTGGCTTCCCAGGACAGCAGTGGGGATGCAAGGAAGACCCTTCCAGTCCAGTCCGTGGGTCTGAATCCCAACCACATTGTCATCTCTGACCCTACTCTCTTCTCTCTGACCCAGCCTTCCCTCTTCTGACCTCTAGTCCCACCAGAAGAAGACTGTTCACCGGCTGACTTTTGGCCCCTGCCTTGATGACCTGTGTTTCAAGCCCCTCCATCTTAACCCTTAGCTCTAACCTGATCTGAGGGGTTTGAACCTAAGAACACATTATTTTTATCACCAGGCAGGTCTTTACCCCTCCCTCCCTCCACCCTAGGACATGTCCATCTTGATGTCTGACTTCTGACCTCCCTCACCTCCATGTGTCGGGTCCATTGCACCAAATCCGGGCTTCTGGGCACCTCGGTGTTTCCTAGGAGGAGGGGTCAAAGGGCATACCCCAGGGGGAGGATTTAGGCTTCAGCTGCCTGGTGCAAACCCAGAGGCATCCTCTATCAAAGAAATGCTTCCTGTAGGCTCAGCAGCCTCCTGGCCCCCCAACCAGTTGATATCTAGTCTCACAGGTGGGGCAGTCAGAGGGGGAAGGTTTTTTAAGCAGGGGGTGAGAAGGCTGTTGGCAAGCAGGGAGCATAATGACATTACTGGAAACAGTTCCCAGGGAAACAGGAACCTTTGCCTTCAGGGCGAAAGAGTCAGAAAGGTAAGGCAAGGCCACAGCTCTGAATATCCTTTTTCCCCTCCTTCTCCCAGTTGGACAATTAGGGGCAGAGGCAAGGTCCGTCTTCCCTGACCTCCCAGGAGGGTAGAAAAGATTGAAGGTAGATAGCAGGAGCCCCCTCTCAACAATGCAGCCCCACCTCCAACCCCACCTGGGCTTTCTGCACTCCCAGATGACACTTCATCTTCTCTGGGGAACGGGTTCTGCTCTCCTCTCAGCCCTTCTCTCTTCCGCAGTTGGGCTGCCCTTGGCTCCATGATGTGAGTCTTGACTGGGCAGCAGGAGGCCCTGGTGTGGTGCGTGTTCTCTCCCTTCCTTCCCAGGCTGCCAAGCTCTTATCGCACTCAGCTCATCTGACAGCATCAAAGACTAAAGTCCTTTCAGGAGGAGGGGGCCTCCAGAAGCATGATAAGTTAATCGATACAGAGGGCAGCACTTCCCAGCCCAGGCTCTGCTCTGCTGGCTGTCAACAGTGGTGGCTGCAATCTTCCCAACAACCCAATGACTGCCCAGATGCCCACTCCAAGCATGCTATCCCTCCCACAGGAATGGTGGCCATGCACCTGTGTTCGTGGGGGAGAGGGGGACTTTGCCTCTAAGGCTTATCACCTGGCATGGCTCTCTTCTAATCCCTTTCCCTGCAGCCTAAAGGTCAGGCAGGAGGCAGATACATCTTCAGGTATCAGTGCCCTCAGTTCCCTTAGCCCATGAGATAAGGTGTGTGAAAGAATCTGGTCAACTCGAATGTGCTGGATGCATGTGATTAACATTCTGATGGGGTTGGCACCTGTGACAACCGTGTTGCTGTGGGCCCTCCAGGCAACCCTGGTGCCAGGCCCCCCAAAGTCAGGTCTTCCCTACACCTGCTTGAATTAGCATGTACGCAGAAAGGAGGCAAAATATATGTTATTCAGCCCCTAAGGAATGCCAGGCATTGCCACATAGGGAAAAACCAGATTGAAATCCTCCCTCCATCATTTACTAGCTGTGTATTTCCAGGCAAGTGACCCCAATATTTTAAGCTGAAGTTTCCTCCTTTGAAAAATGGGGGCAAAAGTCCCTATGTCACAAGGTTACTGTAAGCATAAAATGAGGTGGTCCAGGTAAAAAAAAGCACATGACCTGGGGCCTGCCCATGGGAGGAGCTCAAATAATAAATTTCTTCTTTTTCTAGTAGGATGCAATAGAAGGGTAACTACTTTGAGAGTTCCTTTGTTGGGTTCCTGCTGGGGATTAACTATTAATCCTTCCTTTCCCCTTGTGTCCAAAGATCAGTGTTAGAAATAAAGTCACAACCTCAGACCAAGCCCTGGTGGGTAATTGGGTGAGGCTTGAGACCATTGCCACTGGCTGTCTCCTGGGTTCCTAGTACAGTGGGAAGGATGGAAGGTGAGCACAAGAAAGGAGAGCAGCTATGGGGGGCAGGAAGGGGTACAGAGAAGGCCCTGAGGCCCCAGAAATATGAGAAGTAGACACAGAGACATAGGCCAGAGGCCCCCAACACAGTTTTATTAACCCTTCTCAGCCAACACCAGCAATCTTCCCAGGGTGAGGGGGACAGTGGCGCAGGGCCTGAAGCTGGGGTGTGGGGCTCAGGGCCCCTGAGTTACTCATCACTCATAAATGACCCAAGATGACAGCCACATGCTCCTGCCAGGGGTCCAGCAGCACCCCACCCAACGTTAGCCACTGCTCCCAGGGGAACAAGAGGAGCTTCCATCGCCATCCGGGGACCCTGGCAGGGGCTGGCCCATCCGATCCACACACCAGCAGGGACCTCGGCGCTGCCCCTGAGAGGAGCGGCACTGGGGAAAGAGGTACATGGATCAGAGGTGGGGCTGCGGCTCCAGCGGGAGAGGCAGGAGGGGGCCCTTGGGTGGGGACAGGCTGTGGGCTCCTGAGTCTGAGAGTTCTCAGGACACTGAGGTGGCTGGGTTCCCTTCCTTTGCTTCTCTTCTTCACTTGCTAAATCATGCCCATTCTTCTAGGCCAGAATGATAATTCTCCAAGAGTGGTTCCCAGACCAACAGCTGCAGCACCACTAGGGATGGTGTTAGAAATGCAACTTCCCTGGCTCTGCAGGGCTCAGCCACCTGTCTGTTCACAGCCTTCTAGGTGATTCTGACACCCCTCACATTTGCTAACCTCCAAGTTAGGCATTCTAACTCCCTTTTACAGGGTGTGGTTGGTAATTCTGTTTGTGTGGGCCCTGAGTTGGGAGATCCTTAAAGGCAGAGGCTATGTTTTATTTATGCCACTGTAAGCCGCCTACCCCTGTCCCTGGTAGGAACCTTGTACTGGTGGACTGAGAGGAGAGGAGTGACCTCACCTGCCGCTTACGATAGAAGCCCCGATGGTCACAATTAGGCACGTAGAGGGTGTGAACTCCTCGATAGACTTCAGTCTGGAGTTGCTGCAGCACAGAGTCCAGGTGCCTGCGGCATGGGCCCTGGGGGAAGGGAGAGCAGGCAGCTCAGAACTGCTTCAGCCTCTTTGCTCTGTCCAGTCGGGCTCCCGGGACCCAGCAGGGAGACTTCTCCAAGCCTACAGGAGCAGTCTCAGATGGGAGTCTCCAGGGATCCCCACCCCTCCTGCTCCCTGACAGCCCCAAACACACCATCTCGGTGTCTTGGACACCCCCAGGATTGGGCCGGGCAGGAGTGGTGGAGGTCCCTGGATTCCTCTGCTGGTCTCTGCGGTTCACGTCCTGTGGGCGAGTGGTCCCTGCTTGGGGTTTACTTTCCTTAGGATTCTCCCCTGCAGCCACAAGAGGATTAGGGGAAGAAGAGGCCAGAAATCAGCCAGACATCAAAGACCAAAGCCAACTGGAACAGAGCCTTGCTTACCCCTTCCCTCTAAAGAGGGGAGAACATGGGGCTTTTGCAGCAGTAGAAGTGAGGGGAGTTGGAAGGTGGTTCCCTGTTACCTTCTCCTGGCTTCAGTTTCTTTCTCTGACAAATGGTGATATTACCTTTTCTGATAATATCCTCAGCTAGTTTTAAGGCTTATAAGGGAGAAGCACTTTGGAAAGCAAAAAATTGAGAACAAATGCAAGTAACACTGGGAGCCTTTGGCTTGGGGTGAAAGGACCTGACTGTTCCACAAGAAGCCAGCAGGGGGTGCACCAGGTCAGGGAGATGGGGCCGAAGAGCATGGGATGTGGGAGGGGGTCAGCAGGGACCCAAGTGGAATGTGTGTCCCCGCTGTGACCCTGCTGTGACTCAGCCCATCCCTCTCAGGCCTGCGATGTGGTTACTTTTGGGGCACTGCAGTGGGGGCCTCTCTCTTCTGGTCCCCTGTGGATCAGCCCAGCGCAACCTCAGTGGTCCCAGGAACACATGTGATTCAGCCCTTATCCAGGACTGGCGAAGGGCAAGTTACACAGGTGCAGGCAACGCAGGGCTTCCAACCTGCAGGCTGCTCCTGGCTCTGGAGAGTTTCACACATGGTGTCTGGGAGGCCCAGGAAGAGCTCAGGATGGGAATGGGTGAGGAAATAAGTAAGGGCAGCAAGGAGGGGAGCATGCACTGCTTGGAATTTGCCCCAGCTGTAAAATTAGATATTATGACTCCTGAAGGAATGGTCTCGGCCTTTCCATGCCCAAAGGCAATCTCTGCTCAGTCCCCAGGCCTCAAACCTAGAGAGTTGCTCCCCTCTGCCTACTACTCATAACCCAAGAGCCATTTTCTCTGCAATGCTAAGTCTGATCCTTCTTCCTTCACACTCCTCAAACCTTGCCCCTCATTCCCTCCATTTAGCACCCCTACCATGACCATGCTCCCACTGCTTCCTCGGACCCGGCCAGACCTTCTAGGAGGACACTTAGCAGCCTGGACACAGGTATTTGGGAATGAAAGAAACTCCAAGTTAATTCCCATCCCTTGCCATGGAAGAAAGGAGGTCCTCAGATGTCCCTGGGGTGGGGGGCTGCCTGCATTTTCTGCTTTTCCCATCTCCCTGCTGTCCCCTATCTCCCAGGTTCTGACTCACTTCTGTCCCACCCACCCAATGACTCAGCCTTCTATTCTCCTCCCCGGGGTAGGGTGGGGTGGGGTGGGTGGAGAGATCTGAGCAGCTTTAAATTGTAACTCTAATTTGGAAGATTTCTGCTTCTCCCACTTCTATCTCCCTCTTTTGGGGTCCCAGCACCTGCACTCTGACCCCAGTATCATTTTTGAAACAACTCTGGATTTGGGGCATCTTCTGTATTAGACCTCAAGTTCAGGTGTTTTGGACACCTTGATACTAAGAGGAGATATTTCTCAGTGTGTCTAGGATTTTGGAGTTTGCGGGTCCCTTCCCTCTTTCCCCAGGTGACAGATGGGAACATCTGGGTCCCTTCTCCAGCTTTGGGATCCAGGGCTGAAGGTGCTGGGCCATTGCGGCATATAACCTGACCCTAAACCCCACTCCACTCCCCACCTTTTTTTCAAGAGAAAAAAAAGTAGAGAGGGCATAAAGGTTGAGGGCTCAGGCATTTTCCTGCTTTATCCCCACGGCTCCTTGCTGCACCCCAAACTTCTAGCTGCAACCCGCACGTGCGTGCCCTTCGCTGCCCAGATATGCCTCCCAGAACTGGGGAGGAAGAGCGTCAATGGCAGGACCCGGAGCCTGGTAAGGCTGCCGGTGCCAGTCTCCCCAGGACCCTGCGTACAGATGTGCGGGTCTCATGGGGCGGGGCCGGGGTGGGGCGCGGACTCACCCGAGGGCGCGCGCGCCCGGCGGCAGCGGCCACGGCCCAGCAGCAGCGCCCGCAGAGGCGCCTCGTCTTCTTCGGGAGGCTGGCACTGCAGTCCGGGGACGCAGTTAGGGGTGTAAACCCCGCACTGCTGCCCCTCTCTCCTGAAACAGCTCCCAGCTTCGGCACAGCCGTCCGCTGGCGGGGCCCCCTCCTCCTCCTCCACGCAGGCCCCTGGACAACCCGCCTGCACCCCCTGCCCGCAGCCTGGGCACCGTGCCAAGGCTCCTCCTGGCCCGGCGGCGAGCAGCAGAGTTAGCAGCAGCAGCCGGTGCGGGGTCATGGTCAGGGTTTTTGCCCCGTCCACGTCCTCTCCTTCTTGAGCTGTCGTAGCTCAGCTGCTGCCCGCTGCCTCCCCTCTGCCTTAAGTAGCAGCTGGTCAGGGGCTGGGCCCTTTAAAAGCCAGGTGAAGGGGGGTGCGTGTGGGGAGGCAGGGGCATTCCCTTAACTGGGTGGGACTGGAGAGGCCCCCCCCACCTGGGTCCTCCCTCACTCTTCTCTCCTCCATCCCTTCCCAGTTTCTGTTTACTTCCCAAATTACTCTGATTTTTCTTGCTTTGTTCCTGGGAATCTCGCCCAGAATTTGGGAGCTGGACAGCTGGCTGGAGGGACTGGAGGGTGGGGAGGGGTGGAAGAAGGAGAGGATGGGAGTTGGGATGAAGGGAAAAAGCTGAAGTCCAGTTTGTGGGGATACAGGGGACGCAGGGACTCCAGTGGGGAGAGAAGATGGCGGTCCGGAAG